ACCTACAACATGTATATGGCTCTCTATTCACATAATGCGGTGTTTATAATAGAGCAACTAAACAGACACCAGGGACGTTTCTGCTGCCCACAATTTTTCTCCTGGAGAGCAAAATTCTGGCTGGTTTTGGATGGTCCCCACACAAACACTAACAAAACTGCCAGGGTCATTTTTACAATTAAAAAAAATTGTTTCAAATTATTTAATTTATTGGTGGTCCCAAAATATTTCTATTACTGGTCCTTACTGCTGGAGAGGTAAATTCATTGCTTACTACTTGAGAATAACAATTAGTGCTTACTACTACTACTACTACTACTACTACTACTACTACTACCACTACTACCACTACTACTACTGGAAAACCTCTATTACTACATACCTAGTGGGGATGTAGTAGTAGTAGTGAGCACTGCGAGCTGTTGGGTAAGGGGGTTCTGTTGGTGCTGCGTTTCCAGTAGTAAGCACTAATAGTTATTCTATAGTAAGCAATGAACAATTTACCTCTCCAGTAGTATGGACCAGTAATAGAAATATTTTGGGACTAGTTTTTGTGTGCGGAGGGGGGGGGGTAGAGGGGATATGGAGATGGAGATGGGAGAATGAAAAAAAATCGAATTATTGGGTGATTCCCGTTAATCTAGATGGTCTACTTTTTGGAAGACAGACAGACGAAAAATAGACCATCTAGTCTCAATTTTTAGACTTTCTGTCAACGCTCCACTCCCGGCCTTAGAGAAAGTCTAAATCTAGACCGGAATCCAAGAATCAAAATCCATTGTAGGACTCAACTGAAAGAAAGACCTGCCAAATTTAAGACTGAAAGAATTTACTAAAAAATTAGGAGGCACTTGCGCCAGTATTTTGTCATAAAGAACAACAGCAATAACCATGTCCCCTGTCTTAGTCACTGCTCTTCTTTATCTTCAATTGAAACAAAGAGAGGACCAACTGCTGGAGGCACTGTCTCAAGAGTGGACGCCGGGGGAAATCCCTCACACAATATCCATTTCGATGTCGACTCCTTGTACTGGTCCTAATGCAACCATTCCTCCATGTAATGGGGGATGCTTTCCTCCAGCAGCGGCAGTGGCACCAGCAGCGCCTGTCCCTCGTCCCCCGGGAGGTCAATCAAAAGTAGAGGGGTCAGGCCGTAAGGCCGGTACTGCAAACTACTCTGAAAATGAGCTCATCTCATTGATGACTCTCATCAAGGAGATCCTCCCCATTGGTAAGAGTGATTGGGACATGGTGGTTTACAGACATGGACAAGACTGGCCTTATGGAAGAACAAAGGATTCCATTAAAACCAAGTTCAATTGATTGAGGAGAATGAAGAAGCCTACTGGGAATCCAAATATTTCTGAGTCTGTCCAACTTGCAAGAGAGGCCCATCACTTGATTGGGATCAAGGAAAATATTGGTAATGGAGAGGAGACCTTTGATCCGGTCAAAGGCTTCATCGATGATGAGGATGATGACGACTTGGAGGAGGATGCTTTAACTCCAGCAAAATCAAGCAAAACGGTGTTGACGTCCAATACAACAACCGACGATGATACGCCCATTGTCAAAAAGAGATTGTATGGAAGGTTGAAGAAGGAAATGACTCAACAGGATGCTGTTCTTAAGGATTACCTCATGCAACAGGATAAGAGGGATGCTGAAAGAGACAAGAGGGATGCTTAAAGAGACAAGAGGAATGCTGAGATGGAAGCTGAAAGAGCAAAACGCTGAGGAAATGGAAGCCGCAAGAGTGAAAAGGGAAGAAGCGAGAGACAAACGTTGGCTTACCATGGCTGAAACCATTGCAATGGCGCTAGCTGGTACCATCCACAAGCGCCAGCAGACTGAATCCCATGGTGATAGCGACTAATTCAACTTTCTTCTTAGCAATGATTAACAACGATTAAACGATTACGATGCAGCAATACTAAACAGCAAAAAGCAAAACAATGAGCAACACGGTGAGCTCAGTGTTTAGTAGCAATTAGTTCTTTCTAACGCGTTACACTGTGTTATTTCAAATTTTTGCCTTTGTGGGAATGCTTGGTTTTTGTGCATACCCTTCGTGGGAGTCGTTGAAATCAGAATATACCGTGTTGAAGATATTCAATGCGGCGTCTCCATATATTATGAAACAAAGATGAGGTATGCAAACAATGCATGTGCATGCCGATCAATGCATGTGATTTGACAGCGAACCCCAGTTTGTGGGATTGCAACGCACGTGCTCAGTGGTATTTCTAATCCCGGTTTCATTGGTACTATTGGAAAAATAGAGAACAATACAGTGTAATGCATAACAGCAAGAGGCTCATGGTCTGGTATCGATGCTGTCACTATTTCGTGTTAAACTACTGCTAATCACTATTCGCGATCCCTCATCAACTAAACAGAGCTCAACCAAACTAACCAACCTTTCCCCACCACCATGGTGGACGCTATTACTGCAAGAGTGTGAGTTGCTGCTGCGTTGAATCGTTGTTGCGTTGAATCATTGTTGCGTTGGATTGTTGTTGCGTTGAATTGTTGGATCGTTGTTGCCTTGAATCGTTGTTGCCGCGTTTTCGTTTTCTTTGAATCAATCCTTAATCAATCTAACAAACTGTTCTTTCATGTTCAACTTGACCATGGGAATTATTCAAAGAATGCATTGTTTCCAACTGGAGACACAGTCCTCCCTGCATGGAAGTACCCATCAGCAAGATCCTGGAGTTCATGCGGCTTCTCTATTGCCTTGCGGGTTGCTGGCAGCGTCTTCATGAAGACTGTTAAGATCTGGTTATGCCCAATGGTACTGCATTGGTAGTTGTACAAGTTGATCATTAAGTGAATGATCACTTTCCTCTCCCCAAAGTCCTCCAACCTAAGCCTATCCTTCATCCTTGGGAACTGTCCCTGAATCATCCTCATCCCCCACTCCGACATCTGTCTAAGTGACGTGGCGCCCCTATTTAATAGGATCTGTTCTTCCCCCTCAGGATCTGTTTGAGAACTTTGAATTAGGAAGGGCCTTCCTAATAAGCCAAATGCTGAATCAACAACCACCTTTGCCCCTCCAGCACAGTCCGCGTCCAACTTCTCCATCTTCTTGTAGATCCCGTAGTCATTGATGGTACTGTCGTGCCACGTGCCAGGGTAATTGAAAGTTCCTACACGGATCCTACCATCAGGGGCAAAGACAAACACCCCATTCACGTAAGTATCTCCCTTCCATCCATTGAAGAAGACCTCCTGTTTGAGCCAGTCTTCTGAAGACTGGATCTTTGTCTTGAGCCCATCTGCTGCAGCCCAGAAGCGTTGTTGTTCAAGTCGTGGATATTTTGCTCCAATTGCTCTAATATACTCATTGATTTCTTGCTCACTTGGCAGACTGACCATGGCAAGTGGATGCTTATGAAGCACTGATAGGAGGATCCTCATGGAGAACTTGATCCATTTGTACATCACAGTCGCTGTAAGACCAAACGCCATTGCCATTCCTCTTGCAACAGATCCTCTAGTCCTGTACCAGAAGAGAACTAGTCCAAGGCAGCAAGTAGCGTCTGCCTCCCTTGGCTTTCCCTTCTTTTTTCCACTCTTAGTGGGGGGAATAAGAACAATCTCATTGGTGGTCCTGTCCACTGACGAGTACCTGCTGAAAGCTGGAGCAAACAGCTCAAGGAGATCCCTGAAGACCTTGTGGTCTACACCACAGCAGTTGAGGAGTGCTTGGTCACACCCAGAGTGAAAGAGGAAGGCAAAGGGGGAGTCAGCGTACCTACGAATTGCAAGCTGGGGGGTTCTCCTGTCCCTCCTGCGTCTCTCCTCTGGAGTCTTTTGTTTATCTTCCCATTCCTCTAGCAAGTGACCTCTACGCTTGATTGCCCAGTATATGCAAAGGGTCTCAATGACACCCATCGTGTCTCTTTTGTTTGCTGGGAGGCAATTCTTGTCTTTTGTTTAGGATACAGTGGAGTTTATGAATAGATTTTATTTCACGTAGTAAATCACAGTATCAAAAATTTCGATACAAAATTTCGTGTTTTACTTGGTACTCAAAAAGGGCGCCCATGCGTGTCCATCCAGTCTTAGTCATTTTGAGATTCCGGATTCCTTAAAAGTAGAAGAGCGCCAAAAATTTTGTCCATTGGGGGCCTGTTTTTAATGATTCCTGTTAAACTAAAAAGTCTAAACGGTCTACTTTAGACTTTTAGACCATCTAGATTAACGGGAATCACCCATTGTGGAACGAAAAGTCCCTGGAACCATGTCGATTTCAATTTTTTGGAAAAAAGTTAGATTCCCAGATCCCCCTCTGGGTACCGAAAATTGTGATCAGTTTTGATCACAAAAAAATGTGATCAGAAATAACAAATTTGTGATCAGGTTTTTGTGATCAATCTTGATCACAAATTCGAACTGTCTTGTGTACATTTTGTACTAGTAGTCCCATTTTCGTATAAGATTTTAATACCCTAATATAAATAATAACAGTATTTTTACACGTTTGTACTACTAGTACTTGCTGCACTACTACTAATAGTACACCAGTCCTGTATTACCAACATAGTAATAACAAGGCCTATTAAGAATTAACGCGACGTGCTACTAATATGACCATGAATGACTTAATATATATATATATATATATATATATATATATATATATATATGTGTGTGTGTGTATATATATGAATAATTATATATATATTTATATCATATAAATCGAATATAAATATTAATGTAAGAATAAAAGTACATATTAATTCTAATCCGTTGGAAAAAATGTGATCAAAACTGATCACAAAAAATTGTGATCAAGAAATTCATCAATTTTGTGATCATTTCTGATCACATTTTTTTGTGATCAAAACCGATCACATAATGGAAAAAAGGGGACCGGAGAATTTAATTTTTTCGAAAAACATCGAAATCGACATGGTTCCTGGTGTCTATATTTGGTCGTGGTGGTTTATTCACTATCTACTCGGGATTTAGCCTCACAAGTCACCCAAACTTACCGGTATCTTCAAATTATCTTCAAATTATTTTTTAAAGAAATCCACGAAGGCTGTGGAACGGGAAGTTGAACACCAGGATTATTGTTTTGATTTTTGAATATCATTGAGGACGTCTACCATGCTTCAAGATGGTGCCACCACTTGCTAGAACATCAATTCAGACTCTTCAGATTTTATGTCAAAAGCATGGTTGGGGTTATCTTTTTGGAGCTGACGAAGCAACTGGGGATTGGTTTTTGGACATATTTTATGGACTAGGGGAATGGAAGCGATTCATGGTCCCGATTCCAAAACAAGCACTACATGGAAAAACGCTTGTTTCGGAAGCTGCACTAGTGGGATTGCGAGAAATAATTGAACGCGAAGAATCGAAACGCATTTTGTCATTCAAAGATGTATTTCCCAATCCAATCGTTATCTACGACTCGCATTCGAAAAGCACCTGGGAAAGATTCTGGAACGACTCTCCAACTGAAGTTGGAGTGGATTGTGAAGGAAATTCAATTTCACCACCAGTCCTCGTCCAAATATCGACCGAAAATTACACAATTCTTGAGACTCCGTTGGACGGTCACTTATCTGAAAATCTGCAGCGACTCTTGGGAATGAAATCCATTGTAAAGATATTTTGCGACAATTATTCACACAGAGACAAGATATGTTTGGGATTGAATGTATATGGCGATTACAACGAAAGAGATCAAGTTTCCAAAAAAACTCATATTGTAGATATTGAGATCCTCTCTAATAGGGTGATAGGACCTAGCAAGACACCCCGGGGATTATCGAAATTAGTTTGTCTGTGCTTCCCAGAATTGAACGTGCGGATATCCAAGTCAGGAAAGTCAATGAAGCAACGGTTTAGAAACATTGGAAAATTTGTCGAGATAGAACAAGGAAAGTAAGTCAACAAGCAAACATCAAAGATTATTTTGTTGGTCCACTGTAGCTACCGGTGTGCAATAAAGTCTGACAAATCAAAAAAAATTTGCCTTGAAATGATGATTTTTCTGCCCCTCATTGAACTGCCAACGCTACCTAGGGCAGAGCCTTTGAAAGGGATCTGTGATTTGAATGACACCCAACGACAGTATGCCGCTTTAGACTCTTGGTGTACTTTGAAAATATATCAGCGAATGGTTTCGATAATGAAAAAGGAAATTGCAGGCCAAGTTAACTGATGATTTTGAAGTAGTGAAGATACAGTTGTTGTCTCTGAACCAACGCACTGATTTCTCACTTCAAAATTCTGCGCTCCTGCTCTACGATGCAGTGGAAAGAGCAGCTGGAAGGTGGAATTCTGTAAATTTATTCACAAGCTCAGCTAGCTATGCGTAACATTTCACTTTCTTTTCTACGACAGGAAGAATGTAGATCCCCCAGATTATGGTCGTGCCTCCATCACATCTCCTCAGATGTAGGTGCCGCCCCTCAGAGCGACTAGGAGCATTCTTCTTCCCAGAAGTTATGGTTCTGACCATGATAGTGCCTCTTCTAGTTCACGAAGTTATACATAAATTTAAGATTTTTTTAAAGATCGTCCCCGATTAGGAGCACCAATCGGAAAGCCTAAAGAATTGAAGGCATTCATAATTTGGTTTTAAGTGGTACTGAACGTTCCTGAAATATGCATGTGCCATCGAAGCAATCAGTTAATTTGTCGTAACGAATGGGACACAGATGTCGAGTTTGTCAGAGCTTTCAAATAGATTTTGTAAAAGTAGTAATTCAGATGCTCGTCATGCACTCTACGTTTCTATGGGATCCACGTCTTTGATACAATTACCCTCAATCAAATTATTTTTTTTCCATTTCTTCAAATCGCTTCAACATTTTTGAGACGCTCTGATTCATTTCTTCGTCCGACAATTCGACATACTTTACAGAGGGACGTGCTAATACGGCACACACCCAGCTTTTCAGACGGATCAACCCCTCTTCTTCACATATCTTGATAGGGTCGACACCGGCAGAATCATAGTCACGCATTTCTGCATTTCTTGCACCAGTGAAGGCAGGTAGCACGTTGCATGCACGTTGAAGAAAAGGGGCTACGTTACACTCTGCAAGGGTGAATTGGTTGCCGAATAGAAATGGACCCCCTGACTTGCCCTTCTTTTCGAGAAAGGCATTCGTGTTAATCAATCCTTGCTTGAACTTTTGTACAGCCGACTCGAACTTCTCATCGTCCCCTCTCGCACGCAAAATTTCCCAATAAGAGAACACAGATGCTCCACACAGCTCAGAAAAAAGCCGCATAACAGCACGATCTTCGCTGGTGCTTGGTGTCAGACCAACGTCTGGGTACCGATCGGCAAGATAATCTGCCACGACGAGGGACTCCGCAAGCACAATGGATCGATGAGCGCCATCCTTTCCTAGCACCTCTAACACAGGTACCTTCGCCCTCGCATTCGGAATAGGGTTCGCGCGTACGTAGAGCTCACAGAATTCTGTAGGTTTGTTCTGGAGATCAATAGCAATCGTCTCGTAAGGTTCGCCGCACTCTTCGAGTACGATAGCAACTCGAGCAGCATAGGGTCAGCTTTTGGAAGAATGAAAGCGAAGTATTGCGTCTGTTCCTCGTTGTGTTGAAGTTGATTGTGAAGTTGACATGGCTAACCAGACACCAACTAACAATTGAAACAACACCATAATGTCCACAGCTTTGAGTTGTTGTAAGCGAAGATTTAGGACTGTTGATGTTACAAAAAGGTGATTATCAGTTACTGTATTCACTTATTCCTTTACTACGCGTACTATGCGTAAAATAACAATTGAAACAACGTTAATTGAGGGGTTCCGAACCTTAATTTAATTAATTTAACATTCCGAATGTCAGTGTTAACATTCTGTACGTTAGCACAGTAGGCCTAAGTAGAATTTGTACTAAAACCGGTGGTGGCACGCCCGGCAGGCCCAGCAGCTATTCAGCATCGTCTTGGGTTTTTATCCCGCGTTCAAATTCTACTGAGGCGTACTGTGGCCTGCCTGAAAACTTGTCTCCAGCACGCTAATCTAAACTAATCTAAACTGTTCTTTTCATTCTATTCAAAAAACACGGTTGGAAGCAACCGACCATGGGAATTGCTCCATTCCAAGCACTTCCACTCAACCTTTGACACTTTACTTCTTGGTATCAACTGATAAATCTCTTCCGTCATTGACCGAACAAGCCATTAACTGTAGTAGTAAAGGACCCAGTAGAAGTATTGTTTTGGTATGACTAGTGTGGCTTATTTTTTTACGACAACTTGCTCCTGACATTGGCAATCAGCTCCTCCCCCCCCATTTTGGGGCTTTAGCTCCTCCAGTATCCAATATCGCTGGTTTAGAAGTAGCACAAAGGCCTCCACGAACTACAACTTTGCCTACTGCTAATCCAATTACGACTACGACTACGATTCAGAAGAAGACCTCCACCATGGGAATAGGAGGCCTCCTTTGAAGAACTGTAAGTGTCCTTTATCAGCATTGTCCTCTATGTTAGCGTCCTCTGTATCAGTGTCATTATTATCATCCAGTCCGTATCAGTAACTCGTATCAGCATCCATATCAGCATCTGTATCAGCATCCTCAGTATTAGCGAGCCTCCATATCAGCATCCTCTGTATCAGCCACTCGCATCACCGGCTCGTATCAGCGGACACCATATCAGCGAGCCTCCGTATCAGCATCCTCCCTATCACTGGCTCGTATCAGAGCCTCTGTATCAGCAAGCCTCCATATCATCATCCTCTGTATCAGCAAGCATCCTCCATATCAGTGAGCCTCCGTATCAGCAAGACAGCATCCTCTGTATCAGTGAGCCTCCTTATCAGCAAGCAAGCCTCCGTATCAGTTAGCATCCTCCGTATCAGTGAGCGTCCTCCATATCAGTTAGCCTCCATATCAGTTAGTAGCGTCCTCCGTATCAGTGAGCCTCTGTATCACCAGCGAGCGAGCCTCCGTATCAGTTACTAGCTTCCTCCATATCAGTGTCCTAGAGGATGAGTACACGATGTTGTGATCATTGCTCATACTGCTGGATGCTGTTCATTGGAAGAGTTGCTAGTACTGTACTGTAACACACTGAAAGAGTACTTCTACTGGGCCATTTGCTACAGTTCAAGGCTTGTTCAATTGACGATGGAAGAGAGCTATCAATTGATACCAAGTAAAGTTGATAATTTTCAAAACAAAATTTTTCGAACGCATGAAATTACACTTCGCTTATGAAAATTATCACCTAGAATTCCTACTGATTCCTACGTAGTTCCTACTTGACCAGCAACTTCTGGGATCCAAACACCATGGTGACATCCCCTTCCAAAGGGGAAAATCCACCTCCTTGGCTCCATTCATGCAACCAAGCAATCTAACCAAGACTATTCCAAGTATATCAATATCCCTCAGCTGGTGGAAGCAGTTTGCCACAGCTAGATCCCCTGTTCCTCCAGAAGCACCGTATGGTATCTTCCGGCGTTGAAGTTGTTTCTGGCATCCGTGTCGGACAGCAACAACAACAACCCCGGCTCCAGTATTCAACCAAGACTTATTGAAGAATAAAGCCTGTAGTATATGCTATCGACATCATACTCAGTTTCAAAGCCCATTCCTCAGCATGCAGTTCATTTTCCAGTATTTTACGGACCGGAAGAAGATTCTGGTCACGACGTTGTTGTTGTTGTTTCTGGCATCCGTGTCGGACAGCAACAACAACAACCCCGGCTCCAGTATTCAACCAAGACTTATTGAAGAATAAAGCCTGTAGTATATGCTATCGACATCATACTCAGTTTCAAAGAAGATTCCTCAGCCTTATCTCCATGCAGCTCCTACAATATTCCAGTTTTATTTACAGACCAGAAGCATAATCCAGGCACATTGTTGTTGATTCTGACATTTGTGCCAGAAAGCAAGAACACCAACCCCAGCCAAAACTGTATCAGTATCATTCCCAGTAGCTACTATTCCCCCCCAGTTGCTGAGTGCTTTGCCTCAGTTGGATCCATATCCAGTTCTCAAGGACCGGAAGCACCAGCAGTGTTTTCTGGTCATGATTGTTTTTGTTTCCAACATCTGTGCTGGACRGCAACAGCAACAACACCAACCCCAGCCCCCAGTATTCAACCAAGATCTTCCCTTTGAGGAACAACGCTTGGAGTATATGTTACATACTCAGTTTTTACAGAAGATTCCCCAGCATCTCCATGAAGTTCCTACAGTATTCCAGATTTATTTACGGACGCGGAAGCGTCTTCTAGTCACGTTGTTGTTGTTGATTGTTTCTGGCAACAACAACAACCCCATCAGTCCCCAGTATACTAAGGAAGATTCCCCCAGCATCTCCATGCAGTTCCAGTATTTTACGGGCCGGAGGCGTTTTCTGGTCTTTGTTGTTGGTTTCGACATTCGTGCCAGTATGCAACAACACCAACCCCAGTCCCAGTATTCAATCCTATTGAGGAATCAAGCCTGGAGTATATGGTACACACATACGCTAAGGAAGATTCCCCAAGCATCTCCATGCAGTTCCAGTATTTTACGGACCGGACAAGTTTTCTGGTCTTTGTTGTTGGTTCCGACATTCGTGCCGGAATGCAACAACACCGACCCCAGCCCCCAGTATTCAACCAAGACCTAGTGAAGACCAATGCCTGGAGTACTATATGCTACATCATACTCAGTTTTAAAGATGATTTCCCAGGATCTCCATGCAGTTCCATTTCCAGTGTTTTACGGACCGGAAGAAGATTCCGGTCACGATGTTGTTGTTATTGTTTCCGGCATCCGTGCCAGACAACAACAACAACAACACCAACCACAGCCCCAGTATTCAACTAAGACCTAGTGAAGAACAAAGCTTGGAGTATATGCTGCATCATACTCAGTTTTAAAACAGATTCCCCAGCATCTCCATCTCCATGCAGTTCCAGTATTTTACAGACCAGAAGCGTTTTCCGGTCAGGTTGTTGTTGATTCTGACATTCGTGCCAGAATACCCCCAACCTACAGGCTTGGCAGTGCCCCTTTGAAATGATAATGGCATGGTTCTCATCCATCCAAAMTGTGACCCAATTGTTTTTATGTCCTCTGAATCCAGCAGCCTGCCTTAATTGGCTTGTCCGAGTGCATAGAACTTGGTTGCGCCTCCACAAAACCTCCTTGGAGGGAGGCGCCGCCCCTTGGAGCAGCTAGAAGCATTCTTTCTAACAAAAGCTATGGTTCTGGCCATATATAGTGCCTCTTCTAGTTCATGAGGTTAATATATATATATATATATATATATATATATATATTTTTTTTTTTTGATACCAAGTAAAGTGTCTAAGAGTGAGTGGAAGTGTCTATTCCCATGATCGGTTGCTTTGAACTGAGTAGTTTTTCAATAGAATGAAAAGAACAGTTTAGTGTGCTGGATCAGCCTGTTGGAGGCAGGTAAAGATGCTAGGATACAGTACAATTTTGAACGTGGAATCAAAACCCTTCTATTTTGAGCAAAATGAGAAGGGTTCCCCATTGATCCACGATTTTCTACAGCATTTTTGTGTACAGCTTGTACTAGGATCCATCCAACTCTATCAATTTTGCTCCTTGCTGAGCAGCTTGCTGAACATCAATTTAACATTCCGAATGTTACCAGTGTATGCTGCCTAGAAATGGAAAACTGTATTTTTTGCGTCAATTTAACGTCCTGAAAGCTTTGCTTAACAGTCTGAATGAAGGAGATCTCATCAACAGTGGATGAATGTTTGATTTACAAGGGAGGATGTCCAATATGGAGAACCTGTGGGAGTGACTGTCCTAAAAGTGATGTAAAGTGTGTGCTAGAAGAAAAGTGAGTCGATGCTCTTATCGAGGATCGACGAACTATGAAATCTAAAATGGATCACTGTGAGGATCGAGTGATGTGTGAATCAAATGAGTCGAGTCACTCTGCAACGAATACGTACGTACTGTATTGAAATGATACGTACGTACTGGAAAGGAAGCATACGTACGATACGATGCTCCCTCTGAATGAATGGAGATACCATTCCTACCTACACATCATAATACACTATTCATATATATGTATCATATGATCCCTCAGTTGAGGATCGTAAGATGTCTAAGATACTATTCGAGAATACCTCACGAAGAATAGAGATGTCACGAGTCCGGAATAGAGAACCTCC